CCCATGTTCTATCTTGTAAATGGACTATCGTGTTAATAAGACATTAAAAATGACTGTTTTATGTATATCTTACATAAAGTTAATCTCTTATTTTTAAGAAAAAAACCCCACTGCTTTATTTTAGTTTTTGGTATGAGTTGTACTGAATAGAAATTTGTATTTTATTTAGACCCTTAAGTTACTCTCAAAGGTTCAGAGGTGAAGAAAAAGCGTTCTGTAAAATCTAAGGAAACAAATAGCACACTCTAACAGTAGTATGCTGGAGCATTTGTTTCCAACTCTTTATTCAGTAACATCATGTTGACAGCTTGAAACTGGACATGATGAGAGTATTCATAGCATGGAAATCAGCAAATGCCTCAACTCAGGATTTCTTTCTCCCAGAGAACTGGTTGTTAAACATTTACCAGAACATCACTGGTGATAGTGCCATTTTTAGGTATCCTTTTTTTCCACATTCTCGATGGGAAGTTAAGAACTGGTAGAAGGCAGCGTTCAAAGTAGTGTGCTGGGAAAAGCAAGAGATAAAAGAATTTCAAAAATTACTACCTCTAGCAGCAAAATGTTCTTCCTAGGCAGCTTCTGTTTAGGATGAGTATCCTTTACTCCACCAAAGTACTCCTATATTTGATAATAATGACTGAATTATGGTTAGAAAAGGGCAGGAAATGAAAATATTTAATAATATATATACTAAGGAAGTTATCATTGAAAAGGACATTGCAAGCATCAGAAAATAAGTATGTACTTTTAGAGAATAATACTATGGCAGCTAATAATTTGTCACCATCTAATATTCATTTTAAAAACTGCATATGTGGCATTATTCACAATAGCCAAAAGGTGGGGAAAAAAACCTAAATGTAACAGATGAATGGATAAACAAAATGTGGTATTCTTTTTTTTTTCTGTATGCGGGCCTCTCACTGTTGTGGCCTCTCCCGTGGCGGAGTACAGGCTCCGGACGCGCAGGCTCAGTGGCCATGGCTCACGGGCCCAGCTGCTCCGCGGCATGTGGGATCTTCCCGGACCGGGGCACGAACCCGCGTCCCCTGCATCGGCAGGCGGACTCTCAGCCACTGCGCCACCAGGGAAGCCCTAAAATGTGGTATTCATACAGTAGACTATTATTATTCAGCCGTAAAAAGGAATGAAGTACCAGTATGTGCTACAACTTGGATGAACCTTAAAATCATTATAAGTGAAAGAACCCAGTCACACACACACACACATACACACACACACA